GAGAAACAGTGAGAGAGAAACATCCATGTGAGAGAGACACATTGATTGGTTGCCTCCTGCATGAGCTCCAGCTAGGGCCAGGGATCAAACCTGCAACCGAGTTGTGTCCTTGACCAGAATTAAACCCGACCCTTCAGTCTGGCTGACACTCTATCCACTGAGCCAAACCAGTTAGGTCCATAGCAAATTGATTTTCCAGGGTAAAGCAAATATTTAGCTTTAGTAAATAGTAAAACAAATTAGTAGCAGGGTAAATATTATAAATATAGCTTATACTGTCAACATTGGATTTCTCTTTTCTATCTGAATTCAATAATTTAGTATCAAATGAGTGAGGGGTTGTGTGCACTAGGAATAGGAAAAAAATGGGTTTATAGTCTTCAGAAAAGAAAGGCTGAAGTTTCTTTAGTCAAGTGGAATCATTAGTATCACTTTCAAACAAAACAAAAAAATTGTGTTTGTTACATGTTATGAGATCATATAGGGTCTCAGAATCCTTATCCTAAGAGTAGGCAAGAGAGATTGAGTCATCTTTATTTCCCTCTCTTAAACCAACCGTACCTGAACTTTTCTCTCTAGTGACATTGACAACAGAGAATAAATGGTAAGAGGGAATTTTTCAGGTCATCAGAATGTCTGGCTCATCTGATTCTCTAAAATTCAAGAATTTCCCGAAGAACTCAAAACAAAAGACTGAAAAACTGAGTTACAGGAGCATCCAGAAAAGGGCAAGGAGGTGGGGGGGGGGGGCGGCCCACAGCTCCATGCACTTCCACTGGTCCTCTAGCAACAGTACATCCACTATGAAGCAAGTTACATATCACTCGCCAGTGTAGCAGACGCTCCCTTAATGCGGGGCTGACCTAATTGCTCTATGTGCATGAGAGGGAAGAGGGAGAAGGCTTCCTTGTCCTCTGCAAACCCAGGCAAAATTGTAAAGTGGGTCACATTTCCCTTTAGACTCGTGGTACCTCCCTCTTTTGTAAATCTCTTTACTGCTGTCTAATTCTTAGCCCTGCCAACCCTCCCCCAGCTCTCCAGTTCTAATAATCCACGCCCACTTCCTCTCCAAAGGAAAGCAGCCCACTTCTTTGGTGTGGCCATCTCTCTGAAGTGTTAAGAGACAAGCTTCTCAAACTGCAGAGGAAACTACACTAATTTGAAAATAACTAATAGCTCCATATTCTCTTATGCGCATACTTGTAAAGTATTATAAAATATAGCCATATTATTAAAAATTTGAAAAGGAAAACAAAGCCCATAATCCCGCCACCCTAACACAGCCACCATTTAAAAAATTATTTTGGTATATATCTTTTATTTTCCTGAATGTTTACTCAAAATATACACAATTTTAAAATTGTTGTAATATAAACATTATAACCATATCCTTAGATGCTGAACTCTGTGCATGTGTGTGTATTAAAGATGTTTTCAGCTTTTAAGGAATGAAAGTTGGGATAACATAAAAAGTCAAATATAAGAGTTTATAATTTATACTTGGGACTGAGGAAGATGTATTTTGGAAGAGGAGAATTATAGAATAGGAGGCTGTTCAACCTTGCTTAGGAGTCTGACCCCTAAATTTATCTGGTTTCAAACTTTATATCTTCCATCCCTTTTGAAATAACAGATCCTTTAAAACAATAGATTTTTTAAAAGGTATGTTTTTATTGATTTCAGAGAGAGGAAAGGAAAGGGAGAGACAGAAACATCAATGATGAGAATCATCGATCACTGTCTCCTGCACGCCCCCTACTGGGGATTGAGCCATAAACCCGGCATGTGCCCTGACCAGGGGAGGGAGGGACGGAATCCAACCTTGACCTCCTACCTCATGAGTTGATGCTCAACCACTGAAACACACCAGGGGGCTGAAACATGGTTGTGATTTTTTTGTTTGTTTGTTTTTGCGGTTCTACATTCTCTATTTATTTGGTTATTTATTTATATCTATTGTTGGTAGTATTACAAGATTTCTGTAGTTTCTAATGGGAGGCATTGGTGGAAGGTTTTACCTCTAAAACATTTGATGCTCTCATTTTTTGTCTTTGACTGTTGATATTACAAACTTTGGTTCTTATAAATGTAAAATATACTTTAAGGAAGCCTAACTCACCAACTCGATCTTTTATTTTAATGTTTAGGATTGTTCGGATAGATTTGAGGAGGATCTTCCTATGACCTCATTTCAGCATCTTGAAAAAGTGAAATCAAGAGCAAGGCTTTTAGAAAAGAACCCAGATGAGAGCCACGATCGGTTGAAACATGCAAGACCATGTACTGCTCCGGGGGTTAACAAGCGTCGAGAAAGCTACACTGGAAAGTTTACAAGTTCTCGAATGGTTTCAGCAGGCTTAGTTCATTTAAATGACACAGTCCCAGATTATGAAATCCATAAAACACAGCCAAAAATTTTTAAAAGAAAATGCTGAAAATGTTTGCTCACTTGTGATATTATCCAGTTGTTAAACAGCTCAGAATGATATGTGAGGCCGACAGTCAGAATATCATTTCTCCAATTAACAAAATGGTTTGGAGATCTGTCCTTTCGTGTGATAGAAGTCAGCAACCAAAATTCATCTTGTTAGAACCATTTTGTTTTAATTAAAATGTAAAAGAAACACTTTTTGATGTAAATGTTTTTGTTTATGAACCATAGGGAACACAGAAATACATATTCAGTTCATATTCATTAGCAAAGTTGTATTCCCAGCTTTTCTTCTTTTTCATTATATGACAGAATTGCTCTAATTCATAGCTCTCAGATTTTTCAAATTTGTGTTATGCTCTGAATGATCCCAATCACCGGTTTTTAAGTTCTCTATGTGCTGTTGGTCCTCCTTTAACTCTTCAACTTTAGTTATATTACTTGATTCAACAGAGTATAATTCTCTAGGCCTATAAAACTTGTTAATTTTAATATTGGCTATCACAACTTTTTACACTATAAAGATGATAAAGAGCCGGATTAATATGAATTCCTGAGGCAGCTCCTACACTGTAGTGACTTTCTTACTTGAAAAACTATGAAAGGGCCTCTTTAATAACACAAAGCTCAGGAAGCTGCGTACATCTATAGAAACTGCCTAAAATATTACTTAGCAAATCAGCCCAGGATTTAAATCAGAGACTCCTGAGAATTGGCTCTGTTCTCATCAAGGACAGTATTTGGATCTTGTTGAACGTAGGTTCATTCTTGAGAAGCAAAACTTCAATGTATAGAATTTTTGTCTGTTTCAATTTTTCTCCCATAAGTCATAAAAACGATGGGGTTTAAATAGTTTGGCTAATGGGGAACTTAAATCCTGATCATTCATTTAATGGTATGATCAAGGTAATACATTTTTTTGGAGGCCAAGAATTTCTAGTAATCCTCAAAGTTGTACTTGCATCAGTCATAGTGTAACTGGGAAAAGTTATAACTTAGACTCTTCAGGTAGAAGAAACACGGGGAATTGGTTTCATGAGTGATGGAATCAAGGCTAAGAAGTCAAAAGGGACGGTGGGTCAATCCAGAGATTAGAAAGAGCAGGATGTGCCACCACCCTTCAGATGGAAGAGACAGCAGGAGCAGCGGTGCTACCAGAGTCCTAAAGCCAAAAGGCCAAGAACATAGAGCCACTGCCAAGACTCCGCCAGAAACCGGGAAGAGCACAGGGTGAGAAGTGCCAGTTTCCCCTCTTCCTGCTCTAATTTCCCAACATTGCCTCCCTGGGCCCCTGAGAGAGAGGGTGATGGGAAATGTAGTTCCCAGCAAAGCCGAGCAAGGGAAGAGTGGAGAAATGGATCCAAGAGCAAACAGGCAGTTGACCAGCAGTATTTATGAGGAAAACCATTGACCCGGTTTGCAGTAAAGGAAGAAATATTTTCTAGATGGAAATCTCAGATCCCTTTGTCTCATTAACTCTTAGTGGCAATGCTGTGACAGAGTTTAAAATTTCCTACCAGGGAAATCTCTCAAATATTCAAGTCTTTAAAAAAACAACTTGTAACCTTTAGTCAAGGTTGAATTCCTTAAATATTAAATGTCCATAATATGCCACTTTGCTAAACATCAGGATGTACTAGCGAATAAGACAATATTCTCAAGGAGTCCACAGTCTATTAGAGACGCACACACAGAGTAGTAACACTAGTTACATAAGCATTTTTGGGGAAAGTACCTAGAAGCTCATGGGGCATTTTAGCCTGGGTCTTTCAGAAAGCCGACACGACTGGACGTATTAGGCAGAATGATGATCCATCAACCCTAATCCCAGGACTATGGTACCTTACCTGGCAGAAGGGACTGTGCAGCTGTGACTAAGTTTAGGATCTGGGAATGGGATTATCCTGGATTACCTGGGTAGACCGCACATAAGTCTATTGAGTCCTTATGAGTGAGAGGCAGAGTGTCAGAAAAGGAGATGTGAACACTGAAACAAGAGCTGGCCCCTGAGGCCAGGGGGCGGGCAGCCTGCAGAAGCCAGAAGAGGCAGCAGATCCCCCCCCCCCCCCCCCCCCCCCCATGTTCCTATGAGGCACTTTGGATGAAATTAACATCTAAATCTGTAGGCTAAGGGAAGCAGACCGCCCTCCTCGATGTGGGTGGGCCTCTCCAGGTTAAGACCTGCTGCACCAGCTCTGCCAGGTCAGCCTGCCGGCCTGGGGACCGGATCGCCATTGGCTCTCTAGGCCTTCAGCTTGTCCTTTCACCCTGCAGATCTGGGGGCTTGTAGCCTCCATCATCGTGTGAGGCAATTCCTTAGAGTAAGTCTCCTATTGGTTCTTTCCTCTGGAGAAGCAGAACACACGGGAGATCCCAGAGGCACTGCCTCACGCTCTCCCCAGTCCACCTTTTGCACACATTCCACTGCTCCACGCAGATTCAGAACCTCCTGATTCCTGTGGGTCTCTCTTGTGAAGGGAAGTTTCGGAGGTTGGTGGACCACTACAGCCCCCGCTACTACATGTGATCTCAGGGCCTCAACTGGTGCTCACCTCTCCCTCCTCCACCTTGCAGGTCTTTGTGGCTGACTTGGAGTGACCTAAACATTCTTGACAAGGGCTGGCAATCAACATGGAAAGGTTTGTGTTTCAAGCTGTCTATTAATTTATATACTGTCTCATTGCTTTTAATCTTTTAAGACAGTCATTTAAAAATAATTTTAAATGGAATGTTAGATAAGTGTACAGATTAAGAAAATCCACAATTCAAACTGCATACTCTGAGACAGCATCTCTCTCTTGCTAATGTGGTAATACCATGAATTAAGGTCTCTCTGTCATTATATGTTGTATCACCTACAGGAGCAAGGATAATCATATAAAGGAACAGAATGTCTTCTCTCTCCACTGATCAAAGACCAGGTTGTCCCCAATTCACAGGTTATGTAAGTAAGCCTATTTGTTTGCAAACGGCTTTCCTTGGCAAAACAAATTAGAATCTGTGTTTTAGCCTTGTCAAACCAGGCAAAAAGATAAATAAAAGCATAAACTCAATTCAATAAATCTTTATTGAGCTCCCACGGGATGCATGAATTTAGGATTTATAATTTACATAAGTAGAAAAGTGTTACTTTAGCCCCTTAAAAAAAAAAAAGGAAATCACAACTTCTCTATATATTTCAAGTGAATCATTTAATGTGAGTGAGGCTCAGTTTGATATTGCCATAAGTATTAACACAAGAAAATGGGAAAGTATACCTGTTTCCCTGTTACCAAACAAGGGTTTGATGCCAGAATCAACTAGCCTGTTGGTCTAACAATAGCTATCAAAAAGGCTTGAAAATCTGGAAGTAAAAAATGTATTTGGAAGCACTGTCCTTTGAGGGCACATTCCCTGAGGGCAGGAAATGCTGAAAGAATTAAATGGCTCAAAAATGATAGTGAGATCAAGAAGAATTAGTCACAGCTTTGGAAGAAACAAAACTTGAGAATAGATGACACTAAGTATAGCTAGGTGAATCCTTCTGAAGTTTCCCTGGAGGTGTAGTAGCACTGAGCTAACCAAAGGGGCTACGAACTCATGCTCCTTTGAATAGAGTGGTTTTAAGTGGTAGATTCTCCAGTGCACCAACTGTATTTTCAAGTATAATTCTAGTATTTGTACCTAGAAATACAGAAGAAAAGCAGCAGGGAGAAAGTGTCAAGTATGTAGGATGTAAAGGATTTGGCAGCCCTAGAATTCCCAGTTTGCATCCTTTTCATCAGGAAAGTCACAGTCTGGCTCAGTCCAAGGTGGTGCTGGAGGCAGTGCTACTGATGGCTTTTGATAAGCTGGAGGCAACAGCGAAAGGATTGTGTCCTGGCTCTCTTCTTTCATCTGTCAAAGAAACTCAAAATAAGGCTGTTGGTACATAAACTTAATACATTAGTTCTGTTAGCAAAAAATAACTTTTAAAGAAATCATTGAAAGTATTTAAGATTGTTTTTAACCAAGTCACTAAAAATACCTTTGATTCTGGTCATCTGAAAATAGGAAGAAGTGACAGCCAAATAGAATGATTTTTAACAGAATTGTTTTGCCCTTAAATTATTTTTAGACAATACAGAAAAATAAAATGTCTCTAAATTAATCAAAATACCCAACTGAAGATATAGTCACATATGATGATGCTCCATTTGTTTTTACTCGTTTTGCAGAATGGATGTATTTTAGAAAGTCTAACTGAATTACCCAAAAGTTTTCTTGATTTTAACTTTATTTTGTAAGAAAGCTGTTATTAAAAACCTTAACAACCAAACTGTCCCATTAAGCCAATACATGAAGTGACTTTTTAATAGTATTTAAAAACATCTAGACAACAGAAAAAAGATCAGCTTACCTGTTTGAAGAAAACATGGGACAATAAACTGCTTGCTGATGGCCTGAAACATTTTTAAAAGTTATAAAAAAAATAGAACCTCATATTAGAATGTTGATTTTTAGATGTAAAAATATAGTAGAAATTAGGTTCAAAGCTATAAAACCCAATACTAAAAAATTAAAAGGAAAAATAATGTGTCAGAAGCCTAATTCTTAGCTGCCCTGACCAATGAGAAGAAGTCTAGAGATATCCTTTAATTAGTCCATAACTCAACATTTACTGGGCACTTACTAATTATAAGGAGCTTATGCTAGGCATTAAGGGGCTAAAAAAAGATAAAACCCACACCTTATTTCCAAAACATTAATGATAAGATGTAGTTATATATGATAATAATTTATATTATTATAATAGCAGCAACTAACATTTTTGTACTGCTTGGAAATTTCTAAAATGTCTTCACATAAATGCAGTAATTAATGTCCAGAAGATTAACTGATTTTCACAAGGTGACTTGGTTAGGAAGTGAAATAGCTAAAACTGGAGCCAAGTTTTCTGATTTTGAATCCTGTATTCTCCCTCTTGCTCACTGCTTCAACTTGTTTTTAGCATTGATGCTGTCTAGATTAGACTATGATTTTTTGACCAAAACACTGGTTAAGGATTTGAATTTGGCAGGAAGGGACGATCACAAAGCTTCTATAAAGTGTAAAACATACGTTTTATGTTACTTAGAGGTGAACAATATTACCTTTTCTCTGGATCTTGCTGCAAACAGAGCTGTACCAAGCTACAGAAGGCAGGAGAGAAAGTTTTTGAGGATGGTGTCTGCAATCTGTCACTATTTACTGTGCGAGTTCCACTGGAGACAAGTACACTTTCTCCAATCCCAGAGTCTACCCCTGACCGGGAATTCTTCATTCTGGATTCTGACTGAGGGAAAATGCTGATATCCAATGGGCTATAAGGAGGACCTTTTAATTTCTGTAACAGCATCTAAAAGACAGAAAACTTTCTTTCAACCCTTATCAGGCAAAATATTAAAACAACAACAATAAAGATCCTAAGAGTCTACAGCAGGGATGTTTAACAGATATTACCTAGAACATAGGGATCATATGGAAGGACAGTAGTTCTAGGATTTTAGCAGCATTTACCTGAGTCCTGTGCATGTCCTGGAAAGGTACCTGCCCACTGGCCAATTCACACGCTGTAATGCCAACACTGTAGATATCTGACTTCACGTTGTATCCATGTAAATCCTGTAGAACAAAGAATGTGAAGTCCTTTAGTGTAAATAACTTTAAAAGTTATATACATGTGCTTTTTTGATAAAGGATGGTGAACAATAATGGGAAAAACTTATCAAGTGAGAAATCAAGCTATAGTTAATATATGGCGCACATTTTTAAATTCCTAACATAATAATTTTGACAATAAAGAGGGAAAAAAGTCTTGCAGTAGTGCATTCACCAATCCAAATATAAGGTCACAACTGTCCTTTAGTCAAGCTTAGAAGACACTCGAGACGCACAGACAACCCAATGCAACGGCCACACCTGACCTGTCTCAGTAGTTCTGGACTCAGCCACGGCTGCACTGATGTGCTGAACTGTGGGAAATCAAACACAGCCCTATGCCTCTGTCCGTGCTTAACCAAACTATGCAGGTGGGACAGGCCAGAGAGGGTCACTAGGCCATCACCAGAAATGAGGATATGGCTGGCTTTAAAACTCCTAGAACAAAAAGAAACAATCCTAAATACTGGGAAATTGGCTAATGAAGAAAGAATAAAAATCTGGTCAGAACAAATTCATGTATGCTCTTGGAAATTAAATGCTCTTTATAAAGTATCAGCACACTGCTATGAATATATGGGAAATGCTCAGAGAATTAAGGAATCCTTTCAGCTATTCAAATAGCTTTAGGACAAGAAAATATGTAACTGACAACTACACACATGTTTTGGAAGTGATAATATTTTATGCAAACTTGGAAAGGAATCAAACGATTAATTTCACTCTTGTAGGATGCTATTGCAAAACACCCAAGGAGAAGTCTAAAAAAAAAAATCAATGAACTAATACTTAAAGCATAAGGTTATAATTTAAAGTTAAATGCAGTATTATCCAAAAAAAGCCTTTTATAGTATTAACACTATTTACAAAGACATGTCTTATATAAAAATTTCCTTTGTCAAATTATAAAAGAGCCTGTTTTTCATCCAAAACACTGGATTTGAAAACTAAGAGAGTTTCTAATAGACTAACTACAGTAGGATGACCAATAATCTGGTAAAATTAATTACAATACAGTGTGCGAGAAAGCCTCAGTTAACCAGAATGCTGCTAAAAAACAACAAATAGTAAGAAAAAAAGCTTTAAGGAGTTTGAAACAAACAATAAAAAAAACACACAAGTTATTTAAAAGTAACTTAATTAAAAAGGAAAACAAAGTCCCAGTGTATCTTAAAACAGCACTGTTTTTAAAATTCAGCCAATTCTGCATCTACAGTTTGGTAACTAGAGAATAGATATTTAGTATGATAATCTCAAGATACTACAAAATATTTAAGAAAACAAAGAAGGGTTGTTGCAATGTGTACATGATATAACTATGACTTAAAGATGAAAAACAGATAAAGGAGCTATTAGCTTAAGGAAAAAGAGCTAACTAGGACCCCATTCCCTACAGCTCCCACCCCACATTAGATTGAGAGGTGAGCTCCGTGAGCGCAGGCTCCAACAGGCACTGAGCACAACTCTCGGCACAGGGAGGGGTCCGAACACTGTGGTGAATGAGCACAAAATGTAAGCTTCAACAGTCCCCCTCGGCCCCTGCCTCCCTCAGTTCCCTACCCCTCCTTTCTGATACTCAACTACTCCCGCCTTCCTAAAAGCTCCCTAAAAGATTCCTTCCACTAAAACGCTTTCATTTTGCAAAATACAAATAAGTAAATACCTGTGAATACAGCCATTTTGGTGCAGATAGTTCAACCCTCTCACTGCTCCAAAGAGAATGTTTCTTATTAGAGTTTCACTCATTCCTTCAGGAAAGTAAGTCCTCAAGAGCTGACTTGCTGAACCTGAAAAAAAACGCTGAAATCTTTAAATGAACATTAAAAGTGATTTTGCTTCTGGCTATCTTTTATTTAAATGATTTTTTATTTATTTAAGAGAGAGGAAGAGGGCGGGGGGAGGGAGGGAGAGAGAGAGAGACATCGAATTGTTGCTCCACTTATTCATGCATTCTTTGGTTGCTTCTTGTATGTGCCCTGATTGGGCTAGAACCCACAACCTTGGCATAAAGGGATGATGCTCAAACCAACTGAGCTACCTGACCAGGGCCTATCTATGCTTTAAATGTTCTTTCAACTATAAACACCACACACACACACACACACACACACACACACACACACACACACACCCTTGTTACATTTCAGAATTAACCATTTTCCTATGCAAAGGTAATTTTCCTTCCAGAATATTTAAAAAGACTTTTTTAATGGCACTGAGGACCAGAAAAAAGAATTAACAAGTTTTAGCATTACTGAAAAAACAAAACATACTGTGTATGTATATATATTTTTAAATCCAGAGACAATTCACAAAAGCTATCCTAAAAATCAAAAGTTCTAGAATCCATTTATTTACTGAACACTGTTTTGTGCTAGGTACTGTATGAGCCCCAGGTAATTTTAAATACACACATAATCCTGCCCTCAGGGTGCTCCGATCCAGTGAAGGAGCAGGCACACACACAGACGTTTACAAGACGTGAACTAAGTTTACTCGGCGGAGAAACTGGGATGGGGATGATGTACACAAGCAGAAATACTACTTCTGCCTGAATAACGCAGCTCTCTACTGAGGGAGGACGGAAACCAAAGGGGGGAGGCAGCGAGTTCAAAGGCACGGCTTCTTGGAGAAGCAGTGGTGGCTCACTCATCATCAGACCTATTCTTTTTTCTGAAGACTAAAATTCAACAGAAGCCAGAAATAAAAATATAAAATGAAATTTGGAATTGGCCATCAGAATTATAAATTAAAAGTAGTTAATCATAAATCTAAGATCCCATTCATCAATCATTATAATTATAACTCAGGCTAAGCTATGAGTTATTTTATCAAGAAAGAGTTTTCTTACCATAGGCCATAAACGGAGAAATAACCCAAAGCCAGCTACCAACAGTGAAAACAGTCCAGTAAGTTGTAATATTGGGGTGCTGGAAAAAGTGACATAGAATCACAGCTTTCTAGGATAAACACAAGAGAAAAGACATGTAAAAACAACCTTTTTTCCCTTATGATGAAGATAACAGCAGTCGTGTCAGCTAATTCTCAGTAGAACTTATCAGAACTAACCACTGTTCTCAGTGTTGTATGTCTTTAAATCTTGTATCCACTACACGTTGTGATATGATTTTACAGAAGGGGACACTTAGAAATGAGTTAGAAAACTTGTCCAAGAGCACATAATAAAAGGAGTGGGGTATGAACTTAGTATGAACTCTTATTAACAACTAGAGGCCTGATGCAAGAAATTCGTGCATGGGGTTTCGAGCACGGGGTGTGTGTCGGGGGGGTTCCTCAGCCCGACCTGCATCCTCTCCAATCTGGGATCCCTTGGGGGATGTCCACAGGGATCGGGCCTACACAGGCAGTTGGATATCCCTCTCACACTCTGGGACCGCTGGCTCCTATGCCACCTAGGCTTTTATTATATAGGATACTGTGTTCTTAGTATAGAAACGTTTTAAAAATACATAAAAAGCCCTGGCTGGGTGGCTAAGTTGGCTAGAGCATTGTCCTGTACACCAAAAGGTTGCAGGTTCAATTCCTGATCAGGGCACATACCTAGGTTGCAGGTTCAATCCCAGTGGGGGTGGGTATGGGAGGCAACTGATCGAGGTTTCTCTCTCCCTCTTCTCTCTCTAAAAATCAATAAAAACACATTCTCAGGTGAGAATTAAACACACACACAAATAAAAGTAACTGCTAACATTACATCACAGAGAAAACCACTAATAAAATTTTGGTATAGCCCTAACCATTTTGGCATTGGTAGATAGAGCGTCGGCCTGCAGACTGAAGGGTCCCAGGTTCTATTCCAGTCAAGGGCATGTACCTTGGCTGCGGGCACATCCCCAGTAGGGGTGTGCAGGAGACAGCTGATTGATGTTTCTCTCATCGATGTTTCTATAACATCTCCCTTCCTCTTTGTATAAAAATCAATAAAATATATTTTAAAAAATTTTTAGTATAATTTCTTCCAATCTTTGTGCAAGATACATGTGCACATGTAAACATTTTGAAAATGAAGACAATATCAAAATCAAATCCTTTCCTTCTTTATACAGAAAGTGATTAGTGACAACGAAAATGGATTATAATATTACTGAAAGGCAATTCTATTAAAATTTATCAATTTAGAAGTTAATTTTGCCTAACTGGATGGGAAGGATACTGTCTCTTCCATTTCCCTGTATGACTATTTGTGATTGGACTAACTAGGGGTTTGTAAATCTCCAGACCAGCATTTCAAATATGATATTCATGTGAAGGAATGCATAGTAGTTACCAAAGTTTGAATATATTTTTTCTTTCATGGATCTGCCTTCCAAGTATTCTTTCTAATTCTGTAATTGCATGTTTACAAAAGAAAGAAATCTACTTTTCTCTAACAGAAAAGACCTGTTAATTTGGGGGGGATGGGGGGGTCTTACAGATGTAACTCCTCGGATAGACAGCACTTTAAATGCATTACTTTCTGGTGTTGTCACCTGTAAAGCTTTCAGGCGTTCTTCAGTGCAGTTTTCCAGATTTGTGATTTTGATCGTCACCAGGGTTCCTGTGGGAGTATGCCGTGCAAGATGGACAGAAGTCAGGTTGTCAAAGCCTCTTCCTACAATCAGACATAAAACTGTTAGCCACCAAAAAAAATGATAATTTGAACTTCATCAAAATTAAAAACTTCAACTCCTCAGGAAAATGAAAAGGCAAGCCACTGATTGACAGTATTAACAATACTTTTACATCCAGAGTATATAAATAACTCTTACAACTCTTAATAATCAAACAAAACTCATTAAAAATAGGCAGAAAATTAAATAGGGAATCCATAAAAGAAGCTATAGGAATGGCCAATAAGCACATAAAAAAGAGTTCAAGATAGAGAAATGCAAATCAAAACCACAACAATATGGCATAACATACCTATTATAATGGCTACAATTGTGACTTGATAAATTGTGACTCAAACAATGGAATGCTGCTCAGTAATCCCTACAGCCACTTCCAGTCCCTTCCAACCACTAATGTGATTTTTGTTATGAAATGGCATCATAAGGAATGGAGTGTTTTGTGCCTGGCTTCATTTGCTTGACCACTTTGTAGGCTTAAGTAGTTAATTTCTTTTTATTACTGAGTAATCATTCATCCTATGAAAATACCACAATTTATTTATCCATTTACAAGCTGAAAGATCATTTGGGTTGTTTTCAGTGATTGGAGACTATAAATCAAGCTGTCAGAACTTTAAGTAGACATGTTTTCATTTCTGTTGGGCAAATACCTGTGACTGGAAGTGCTGGGCATGGGTGTTTAACCTTATGAGAAGGTGCCAATTTCTTTCTGAAAGCGGCTGAACCGGTTTGTGTTACCCAAAGCCGCAGTTGCTTGACATGCTCGCCAGTATTTGATGTCAGTGTTTAAATTTTAAAATACCTAGTGGCACCTATTAATAGATACTTAATAAACATTACTTACCCCCTCTTTCCACAATCACCAAATTCTGTTACTTTTATCTTTAAAAAGACATTATTAATCTCAAATTCATCCCTTCCTCTGCAGTGCGGGCATCACTGTCCTCTTTCCGGGACAGATGGAGGGGATTCCTCACTGTGCCCTCTATTCTCAACCAGGGCACATATCAAAATCACTGAGGGGACTACTTCAAAAGCCTATGCCTGCCTTTCGGTCGCCAGCAAGTTTGATTCAGTAGGTCTGTGATGGGATATAGGCATTGCAATTTTTATTTTTTTTTAAATATATTGTATTGATTTTTTTACAGAGAGGAAGGAAGAGGGATAGAGAGTCAGAAACATCGATGAGAGAGAAACATCGATCAGCTGCCTCCTGCACATCTCCTACACTGAGCCAAACCAGTTTTGGCGGCATTGCAATTTTTAAAAAGACTCAGGTGGTGAGGATACTTCCTCACCACTAATCTACATCTTCCAGACTTGTGCAGGGAATTGCAGTTGTCTTTCTAAATCCAGCATTTTATCAATAGAAAGGAACTACAGTGCAGCAGCTGAAAGCTGAGACCCTGCAGTCAGAAGATTTGCTTTCAAATCACTAGCTGTTTGACTGTTAAACAAATCTCAGAGCCTCAGAATTCTTACCTGCAAAATGGGAGTGGTAGAACGAAAAACCTATATCAAATGTTCAGTATAATGCCTTTTAGATGCTAATACTAGCATGCTCACGATTCCAAAATGTCTTTCTAGCACAGAGAGGATAAATTCCAAATTTCGGCCTTAAGTCCTTTGAGTAATAAAGTAGGTCAGTTGTGGGGGTGGACACAGTCTGAACCTCTAAATACACAATGTGTTCCCAACCTCCCAGACTTATCTCCTGCCCTACCACTGCCTACACTCCCCTTGCTCCCACTTCTAGGCAACTATGTGGCAGTCCCTTTCTAATCACCCTTCCTCACTCATCTATTGAAGTAAATATTTTTTATCTTTTTTTAATTGACACCATCTGAACCTCCTTCCTAAGGGCATTTCCACCAGTGCTATTTTAGAAAAGGTCAGATCCTTATTCTCCTTGACCCTGGATGGGAGTGTCAGTGACCTAAACTTGGCCAACTGGAGGATGGAGTGAGAGACAAAGAAGCGGCAGTCAGAACTTGCTGCCGTGGGACCCACTGTCTGGTGGTGGAGGTACCCTACGAGGTGGTCCCCGACCGAGGCTGCTCCATGCCATGCCCTGGCTATGGTTCTAGGCTGAGCTTCTCTTGGCTCTTCCAAGCCTAATTATTTCTCCAGTCAGTAATTCTGTGTTAGAACATGGTTTAAAAATTTTCTCTTTTGCTTGTTAGGACTGTTTTCTGTTGTTTGTAACAAGCACTCTGACTGGAACATCTGGCAACCTTTTCCTCATTCTCAGGATCCAGCTCTTTTTCTCTTTGTTGACTCCCAGATGGATGGTTGGATGCTCCATCTTCTCTGTTCCCACAGCACCTTGCACACCTCGACTACAGTTCCCTCCAGAGGGTAAAACAAAGCCATCCATGTGTTCATCTTCCCAGAGAACGAACTCCTCAGGTGTATTACAGGACTTTCTATCCCAGCATCTAACAGCACCTGCAGTGCTTAATGTTTCTGAATATTCAGAGCCAATGTTTCATGTGTATAAGGCTATAGATAATGACCCATCCTGTTCCAAACTTAACCACAACAGATGGGATTTTAGGTTTTAAGTTAAAATAAAGTAATTTGGTTAAAGGACTATAACTAAAAAGATCTTTTTTGCCATCAGCTTAATTCCTAATAATGAAGGATCAATTATGTGAAATCCATGATTACCTATTTCCACTTGTAGTTCATAGTGAGAAGCGTTGGTGGAACAGACCGCTTCACTGAGTCTAGCAGATGGAGACAACCAGGGAAGGGTTGGCTTATCAACCTGCATGGTTTTAGAAAGATGAAAACAAAATACGTTTAGACTCTTTTGGTCCCCCAACCCAATATAAAATGCAGACATTGTATTTTTAAACACACAGTGCTCATTAGGAAAGGCACACTGAAAGGTGACTTAGGACACTGGTTCAAGATCTAAAAAGAATTTACAATTGCTAATAATTGATGCTAGTTAGAAAGCTATCTGCTGATAAAGGTGAGAGGGCAGGAAAAACAGATTTATAGGTAGCAAAGAATACTTTCCAGCACAATTTCAAGTAAGCCTTTTTAGGAGTTGTTAAGAATAGTTCATTCTTCAAGGTAGTAATAAATAAATATGTCGAAGGAAGAGATGCAGGGGCCTGTGAGGAAGGATTCTCTGCTTGTGCTACTGCTTCAAGGGATCCCAAGTTTTATCCATGACACATCCAGATACATACTCAGCTAGTGGAGGTGCTAACATCAAGAAACAATTTCCACACTCTAATCTATTAAAATTGCTGAAGATGTTCTTCACAAGATGAAAGGAATAAGAAGGGAGATAAATAAATAAATGTCAAGAAATGGGAGACCACAGTACAGATCCCCCGAGTTAACAGGAACCCTATGGGTGTCTCACAGGGTGCTCGAGTTGGAGCCTGGTCTGCACCGTCCCAGTGGCAGTGGCAGTGAAACATGCACGCAGGAGGAAGAGGAGGCCAACAACTTGGTGTCATACGATAGCCAGGAGGCTCTCCAGAGGACACCAGCACTCCAAAGACTCTCAGGCGCCTTCCAGGCACCAGCAGGCGCCAGAATCTTATTACTGCCCCCGAGGTAAGGAGAAGGAAGAAGGGGGTTAGAAATCATATTACTATGTGCTAGGAATTGTGCTAATTACTTTTCATATCCTTAACTCTACATGTTCCCTAAAGTTTTAAGAGAGCAGAAAAATATAAGCTCCTGGCTAAAGATGAATGAAAGTAAATATTGTTAAAAGAGGGATGAAAGATTATAAAAAGAAATTCCATTATACAACTGGAAACAATCCCAATGAAAAAAAAAGAAATATAAATAAATCAAGTTAATTTCTTTAGGACAGGCAGTCTTCAAATAAACTGAGATCTAAAGAACACATGTACGAGACAGAAAGGAGAGCATATAAACAATTAAAAAAATTTTTTAAGTAACAACCTGAAGCCTGTCAGGGAGGCTTCAGAATGAACTGAGGCTTAGGCATAGGTGGTCATATGAGGGACTGCAGTCAGACGACCAACCTGTACATTGCTTCGTTGCTTCCATCTTTTCCATTAGGAAAGTAGTCTTCTTTAAACTAGAAGGCACATTTGTTGTATATAACTAGCTCAAGCCCAAAACAGGTTATTCTATATATATATATTAGAGGCCCGATGCACAAAATTTGTGCAAGAGTGGGCCTTCCTTCCCCTGGCTGCCAGCACTGGCTTCCCTCTGGCACCCAGGACCCAGGCTTCCCTCGCAGCCCTGGCTTTGTCTGGAAGGTCGTCCAGTCTAATTAGCACATTATGCTTTGCTTATTATAGATAAAACAAAATAAATCTATAAATAAAAACAAAACTCTCTCTCTATATATATTAGGTACTAAGAGTTGTCAGGGTCACAGAGACAGAAAGTAGGATGGTGGTGCCAGGGGAAGGGGAGGGAGAGGGAACAGGGAGTTGCTGTTCAATGGGTAGAGTTTCCATTTTACAAGATGGAGAGTTATGGAGATGAATAGTGGTGATGGTTGCACAACATTATGCATGTGTTTGATACCAATGAACTGTACACACTTAAAAATGGTTAATATGGTAAATTTTATTTAGCACATACCTAAAAAAAGGTAGCACGTGTTGAAGTTTACTGAGTTCTAGGCCTGTTTCCTGGCAACAGCAAGGAGATAACAACAGACACTTTACTCTCTGAATACCTCAACCTGAAGGTAATATTTGAATAAAAGCAAGGATTAGACACTACATCCTACTGTATAAAAGGACAGGTAACTAGAAGACTTTAGAGTATTAGTGAGCAAAAAGTGAAATGACAAAAACGAAGACAAAATCGGGATAAATGTATAAACAGGATTAAATGGGATTATCTTATTTTGTAGGAAATAAGCCATTTGCAAGGCAGGTTCCATTTTGTAGTGAGAAATATTCATTCCCGAGCATGTTTCTTTAAATATTATTTACATCAGGCATTGCCCAGGGGAGATAAAGATGAAAAAGATAGGATGCCTATTTTATGGGGATCATGCTATAGTTGGAAGAGACGTATACAACAATCATTGTGAGATAATGAATAAATGCCATTTTATAGGAATGTCTAACATATGTTGGAGAATAAATAAAAACTTCAAGATGTGATATTTGGGCCAACTCTTTATGATTGAGGAGAAATTTTAGAGGCAGAAAAAGGAGACTATTTCAAACAGAAAGAAGAGTATATGCTAAGACTCAGTAGCAAGAAATAAAACTAAAAAAATTAAAGTTATTCCATACCACTAAGGTCCCTTATACCCATGGTCGGCAAACTGTGGCTCGCAAGCCACATGCAGCTCTTTGGCCCCTCGAGTGTGGCTCTTCCTAAGCCTTAGGAGTACCCTAATTAAGTTAATAACAATGTACCCACCTATATAGTTTAAGTTTAAAAATTTGGCTCTCAAAAGAAATTTCAATCATTGTATTGCTGATATTTGGCTCTGTTGACTAATGAGTTTGCCGACCACTGCCTTATACCACGCTAACAAGTTTAGGCCTTCCCTCACCCACGTGGAAAACCTCTATTAATACCCTAAGACTCTTAGTAAAATCTGCTGTCCTTCGCTCATTAGCTGATACTCTCTTGTGGATACTATGGAGCACAGCCAGGTTTGCTTTCAGAATGGAGGTGCTAATCTCCCCAACCACTATGACCACTGAGTCTTGTACAGGGAACTGCCCTCTTCAGAAAGAAGCCACGCTGCCCACAGTTATGCCACTTCCCTGGGGTCAGTTTGTATCCAACATTGGTGGATACAGGAGTACAAATGCCCAGAGCCCTTGGGCAACTAGGGCAATTAGGTAGAGCCATGCCAGCTCCAGAGATGCTCACTGGAATGGCTAAGGCCTCTCTTCAGACTTCTTAGGCACAACAACACTGCCTCCTCCCTCTCTCACAGTGTTGGTCTCTAGAAAGAACTTCCCAATAAATTTCCTGCATGAAAAAGAAAAAGTTTAGGCTTTATCCCATAGGCTTTTGGAAACCAATGAAATCTTAAGGTTGGAAAGTGACACAAGGAGGCCTGTATTGCTAACAGTGTTGAATCCTGATCTGAGTGGTGAGAGGAGGGTATACGCATGCCTAGGAAACTAGAGGCATTGAGTCTTCCTGTAATAGTCCAGTGAGAGATGATGAGACTTGAGTAGCAGTAGTTAGTGACCAGGTGAAGGAGGGCATGGACTCAAGGGTATTTCGGATACAGAACCATAAGACTTGGTGTATGTGGGAGCAGAGGTAGAGGCAGTGTGAGGATCTTTCCAGTTTCTAGTCAGGATGATCTAGTAGGTGGGTTTTTTATTAGCCAAAGCAGGAAACACAATGTATTGCTGAGTCTGAGAGAAAATTAAGGTTTTTCCGAAACTGCATAAAAATGTCTTCGAAAACCCTAATACAAGATATTCTACAGACAGCCCGGTGCCCAAGGAAGAGCGAGAGTGATAGGTAAAAATGTGAAAATCATCAGTTCTGCTTGATGCCAGAGTCCCCTCCTCACCTGAAGGAAAACCTGAGGGAGCTCCAGGATAATCTGAAACCTGAGCAACAGAGCCTTAAACAGGTGAGATGCTCAAGGAGAGATGGTTTAAGCCCAGTGGTCGGCACACTCATTAGTCAACAGAGCCAAATATCAACAGTACAACGATTGAAATTTCTTTTGAGAGCTAAATTTTTTAAACTTAAACTATATAGGTAGGTACACTGTTATTAACTTAATTAGGGTACTCCTAAGGCTTAGGAAGAGCCACACTCAAGGGGCCAAAGAGCCGCATGTGGCTCACGAGCCGCAGTTTGCCGACCACGGGTTTAAACAGAAGAGAAGAGGCCAATGATAGACCACTGGAGAGTAGCAAAGACACGGTAAAGGAGAAGAATGTCGGAGAACCAGGAGTGAGTGGTATTAGAGAAGGCAAAGGAGTATTAATTGTACTCAATCATTTCTTACCAAGTTTTGATGGACACTGGTTTCAGACTGTTTTTCAGGTCTGAGTGATTCAACTTGTGTTCGTGAAGTGCAGAAACAATCCTGGAAATTCAAGAAAGGAATTAAATCAAGTGAAAAAAGCCCCCATGAAATAAGTAGGGGTGACATGTGATACAAGAAGGTCTAGTGATGGAGTGAGGGGCAGAGAGAAAGGGTAGCATGCAGGGATCTGGAATTGAAGCCAGGACTCATAATGTGGGGGTACAGTATGCGAGAGGACAGAGAAGCAGCTGTGTGTGCAGAAGACAAATGCCTTCTGTTATAATTCTACTTGGCATATCTCTGATCCTTGTCCTCTCTCTGGAGATCATAGTGTCAATTCACTTTTACAGTTGGTATTGATACTGAACTCTTCTATCACCTGCAGTTTTCTTCTGAATATTTAGCTAAAGATTATTCTGCTCTACCCACAATAATCATTTTTATTTTGATCCTCAGATTTGCTTTGGAAAATGAAGTAGGTATCTCACCTTAATGTATTTTCCAGATATATAAAGCTCCCCCTTTTAAGTAGAAAAGCTGTACTTCAGACAAAAGTAATGCATCCTGTATTTTCTATATAACTAACATTCTTCTCGCTTCATAGTTCTGCCTCTTACACTTGGCAAATGAAGGTGTTGATGAGCAGGTATGAGTCTGAGCCCTGGCTCTAATTTTTCGCAATCCTGGGCCAAACTCAACATGAGGACTATACCCCCTGCCCAGCCAGTCAGTCACAACTTTGAAGACTGGAAGAGATACAATATATGAAAGTTTTCTGTAAACTGTACATCCTCATATAAATGCACCCATCACTTTTTAAAAGATCACTGCTTTAATAATTCAAATATTCAAGTATTGTATTATATTCTGTATAAAGCAAGATGAAAGTCATAAAACTACTTAATTAAAGCAGATACCAATATCTAAAGCAGGGGTGGGCAAGCTTTTTGACTCGAGGGCCACAATGGGTTCTTAAACTGGACTGGAGGGCCGGAACAAAAGCATGGATGGAGTGTTTGTGTGAACTAATATAAATTCAAAGTAAACATCATTACATAAAAGGGTACGGTCTTTTTTTTCAATAGTTATATTCATTTCAAAACGGGCCGGATTCGGCCCGCGGGCCGTAGTTTGCCCACGGCTGATCTAAAGTATATTCAGATGTGGATCTAATAGTATCTGTACATCATATTATATACATTGACCCAACTGCTTTTTGCTTGCCTTTAGTCAGATGGAAATTTTTAAGAGATATTTTTGAAATATTTAAAGGGTAAGACATAGCTAACTGGATGAGAGAGGCATATCCAAGCACAGCATATGTATGAGAAAAGTGGGTCTGGGTCACAAGAACAGAATAATGAACATATCAGAAAGTACAGGAGAAACTCTTTTTTGAAAAAAACAAAAACTCGATGAGAATTTAACTTATTTCTTAAGACCAGAAGTCATTCAGGTCAAAATAACATCAGAGTAAAGACTGTCTCATCAGAATATGCCCTTTGTTATGGCTCTGCATCACCATCCAACTACTCCGAAGGCACAAAATCAGATCCACGTTAACAAGAACTTACCAGAAAAGACATTGAATCGCTTTATTTCACAGAAAGTGACAAAAATCCATCTACTGCAGAGAAGATTATTGCTTTATCTTCAGATGCAGAAATATCCTAATATGAAAACAAAAGGAACATAATTTAGACTTACATGTAAGCTTCTTGAAGAACTAGTTGTCATAAACCCACACAATGTCTAGGCAGCTACTCTTTGACATAAGGACCAGAGCCAGTCCTGGAAAGTGTCTTTAAAGAGCATTTCTGTTTACTGAATACTGTCTGGGCCCTGACATCACAACAGAAAGGCAGAGTGGAGGTTCTGGATATTTTCTCAAAGCCTCAACATACCTGCATCTCTCCTTCCCTATATTTTCTGTACTTTTAAAAAGAGCCCTAACAAATGTGAAAACAATTTAGAAAAACAATATTGGACCCACTTTTGATATAAATGGTGTTACAAGAATTCAGTGATTCCACTCTAAGTAAATTTTGAGGCTTCCTAATCAGATTAATTGCCTTTTCAGTCATTTGGGTTCCCTGACCAGCGAATTTGGAAAGAATCAGGATTAGTAACAAACTAAGAATTAATATTTTCTTGTTGCCACATTTAAAATAAGAGAATTTTTTTCCAGTTTTCATGTAAAATAACATCTTTGTAGGTTGAATATTTTTTTACTTTATTTTGATTTCTCAGTTCTAGCCTTGGAATTTATTTATAGGCATGAAAAACATGCAGATTATTATACAAATAATTACTGTCCACTTTCAGTAATAGAGTATTAAGCTCAATAGTTTATGAAGACTCTGCAACAGATTCAGAGATTGAAAATAGTAACTTCTACAGATTCAAGGAGCTATAAAAGCACCACCAAAAGTTTCCAGATCTTTCCCAATAGAAAGGGTAGTAATTTTCTAAACTTGCTAGTGCTTTGGTGTTTCCTTATAACTGTCAATGTCTTTACTTTCATATACATTGTGCTTCATTATTTAATTTTAATGAAGTCCTCAAGTTTGATGAAGGCATCTGCAAATATCTGAGCAAAATGAGAAAGAAAAGGAGATCTTGTAAACCATAGATATTATTGCTAAGGGAACTATGTATTTGTTCAGGATGGTCACTACACACCAAAGGGAAAGAATGTGAGGAAGAAGAACCTGAAAGCATGATTATTTTGTCTTCTGTCATTCACTGTATCAAGTTAAGGCACTGGAAGATGCTGTTACAAAAGGAGGAATGCAATGCCTGCCCTGCCCACCTTCTAGGCTGACTGAAAGTACCCATAACTGCCAAACACTGTATCAATAAGAGCCTGAGAGGATGCTCTGAAAGGCACCCTCAAACATACCGGCACAAAACGGTAAGGCTCCTTTTGGGTAGTGAGTTGGCAATATTTTGATAAACATGAAAATATTCATACCTTTTGACCCAGGATAATTCTCACTTCCAGTAATCTATTTTAAGGAGGAATGCAAGCAAATGAAGAAACCACATCTATAGAAAGTCACTGCACTGTTATGTGAAATAGCCAAATATTCATTTCAGTTGTTCAATCAATGGCTACTATGGAATGGGCACTGCGCCGGGCATTGGGCACTCACTGGTGATGGGGCAGGGAAGGCTCTGACCAGTTGTAGCTTACCTTCCCACGGCAGAAAGACTAGGGATGTCACGATGAACTGAACTTTCTGGTTATTCCGATTTTGTTTTCTGCTTTTCCCACTTAATATCAGTTAAGTTCTTTCTTAACAACAAGAACAACAACAAAACTTTAAACTTCACTACCTTTCCTATTTCTCAGAAAAACTAAGAAGAAACGGGCACCATGTGTGAGAACTGTTAGCACTAAAGGGTTGTCCCCATGGGGTGGTTTAATCCCAGAGGTTTTTGCTTAAGATATGCCAGTCTAATAAGAGATAATTTTACAAGACATTTTGAGGTCAAGGCAGCAGCTGCACCTGGTAAGGGGCGGGGACGTGTGTGTGTTGAAGGAGATTTGCTGTCATATTTTTCTCTACACGTTCTTTCACTAGGTATGAACATAAATACTTTTAAAAATTTCATATTTCAGACCTAATTTTCTAAATGTATTCACAAGTACATTAGTGTGGCCCCCTGCACCTGTATCTGAAAAGCTAACTAGGATAAAGCTTTATAAATAATTTAAAGTTGTCCTATAACAGAATGGTAGGTAGTCCGAAGATTTTCATCTGAAAGGGTGACACTTTCTGCGAAAATCAGGAGCTGTGTCTATTTACAGTCCATTGTTATAGGGAATGCAAACAAAAAAACAAAACACAAACCCTTATTTAACTCTTTGCTGAGCTTTTAAATTACTGTAATTTTCAAAGTGATCTTGGAAACCTATAATATCCATAATATCTTAAAAATTGTAGCAACGCACAACTCGGTATAATTTTCCAAATTAGTATCGTGACTCATGCTTTCAGGAGACATCGCCTGAACGCCTACTGTGTGCTCCGTGCCAGGCAGGCGATGTGTCACAAATCCTGACCAAGTTTTCAGGGAAAAGGGTGCCCGACACAACAAACCCACGAAGGCAAACACAACGCCGAGCTTCAATACTGAGGACAAACGACGCCTGGGCATTTGCTTTTGTGAAAAGTTCCCTCCTAGTCCTG